TCACGACTTGTCCTGGCCAAGTTACATAAACTCTCTGTGCCTCTATGTTCTCATCTGCAAAATGGGATTAAAAATTGTACCTACTCATATGGTGTTGTTCAGGAACTAACAAATGAATGCGCTAAAGCGCTTGGAACAGTACCTCGCACAGGGGAATCCCGCCATACGTTTTGGATATCAGTACTAGTCATTTATCCAGCAAACATTTGTGGAGCGCTCGTTCTGTGCGAGGCCCTGCGTTGGGTTCAGGGAGGCAGGGGTGGACTGGGTAGGTGCTATCAGGCAGTCTTAAAGTCTAGGAAAGAAATAAAACGGGTGGTGTGATAGGGTGATTGGAGAAGAGCTGTTTTAGGTAAAAGGAGCCAGCTAAGTCCGTCCCGCTCTCTAGGCCTCACTGCCTTCTTCGATTAAAAAAAAAAAAAAAAAGACGGCTCTTAGGCGTTCTGCCCTCCGGCTCAAACACTCTGGCGCCGGGTCCAAAAAGTGGGAACAGGGCGGGGAAGGGATGTTCGCTGGGAATGAGGAGGAGTCCAGGAGCCCTGCTTCTCCTTCGCCCTCTGGCGCCCCGCCCCTCCTCGCGAGGAAGCGCCGCGCGAAGTCTGGAGAGGCTGGATGGTGCCCGGGATTCCACCAAGGAGGAAGTTCAGGGCTCCAGGAGCCGCTGACCGGGGCCAGGCTTCTCAGAGAGCTATGTATTCGCACCAGGCACTCCCAGGGAGCGAATACTACGTCCCTTGCGTAGCTGGGACGCAAAGTGTGCAAAGCGGTTTCTTTTAAGCTTCTGTCTTGCCCCTGACAACCATGCCGAGAGCTGACAGGCACTGCTACCCTGACCAGACTGTGGCTCACAGAGGGAAAATGTTGATTCCACTTGACTCCAAGCCCTGAACTTGCCCCACAACGCTGCCTTCACTTTTCTGAGTGTGAAAAATGTTTTAAAGCGACGAAATACGAGTCAGACCTGGCCTTACATGATCTCATTTAATCATCAGAGCAATCCTGAGTCTTTTTTCCAGTTTTTCCAGTTTTACAGATGAGGACACCGAGGGTCAGAGCAGTAAGGTCACTTACTCAAGTAAGAGATGGAGCAGTTATTCCGCCCCAGGTCTGTCCACTCCAGAGCCAGAGCTGTTTCCATCTCAGGAAGAAAGTAAAAGAACTGGAACTGAAACGTCAGGCACACTGGGCCAGGCAGAGGTCACTCTCTGGTCCCCCCTCCCTGACTCTTCCCCTAGGTTCCAAGGGCCATGTCACAGAGCAACCTCTGTGTACCCATAATCACCAAAGGGTGAAGCACAGTGTCTTCTATTTAAACAAGAAGGACACTGGCTACCTTTAAATAAAAGCCTGTGATGCAGACCACCACCTTGCTCCTGATCCCCATTCCCAGGAAGACTTGCCTATCCCTGATGGCTCTGTTCCTCCCTACAGACCCTTGAATCCAGAGAGGATTCGGCTGGAAGGGGTGCTTTCATTTTACAAAACAAAAGCCTAATTCATTCATTCAACAGACATCTGGTGTCTGCCACTCTAGGCCAGACCTTGAGCAGAGTGCTAGACATGGAGTAGTGAACAAAACTGAGACTACTTAGGCACATAGAGAGGAAGTCTCTGGCCAGAGATAACACAGTTCAGGAACCCAGGACTCCTGCCACCAAGTTCTGCCTGCCAGGGCTTTAGCCACGCTGGAATGTGTATACCTAGCTCATTCTAGATGAAGCCCCTGTTCCAGCCAGGCAGTTCTCAAAGTCCCACCCTCCGGAGGCCTGATGAAGGTTTCTATGCAAACACCCCCAAATACTGACTTCATTTTCTTTTGGTACAAGTTAAAGACCCAGCTGAGTCTTGGACCGTGCGTGTTGCAAGATGACAGAATTAGGAAAATGAAAACCTGCTCCAGGTGATCTTAGGAGACACCCTCAATTACTCTTCAAAATAAATTCGGGGAAGTTTTACAGCTGGCAGCAGAGGCTTAGAGAAGGCGATATGACTTGCCCAAGGTCACACGGTTCGGATGCATACTAGGCTTGTGTAAACCCCAAACCTGCTAGTACCACCTCCCCTCCCCCCAGAGGTCTGTGCCTCCGCTGGACGAGTGGCAGAGGCGACTGCACAATCCTGGGGAAACCACATCTCCGGTTGCTTCCTGAGCAAGCCGAAGAGCGAGGCGACGGCGCCGGTCCGGCGCACTCAGGAGGAGGGAAAGGGTGTAGCGCTTCGCTGACCTGGCTGCAGCTCTGGCCTGCAGGTAAGAGCTGGTCAAAATTCTCCTGGGCGCCAGGGTCTCTGGCGCCTGCAGAAGACTAGGCGCAGAGGCACTGCTCGGAGACAGGACCTAATGCGACTGGACGGTCTTGGACCAGACCTTGCGCTCAGGAAACAGCTCCTCTTATCCCCGCCATAAAAGTCTCCCAAACTTTTGCTGTTGTCAATTAAAAAAAAAAAAAAAAAAAACTAAATAACGGCAGAGAACTTTTCGAAAAGAGGATGGAGGCAGATTTCCGTTTCTCTCCCGAGCCCGAAAATGCGAAGGCTCTTCTTACCTGCAGGAAACCTTGCAGCCCGCAAAAGCGCGTCCTTCTGGAGCGCTTCGCTTCGGTGCGGGATGCTCACGGTCGTCTCCTCTGCAGCCCGGCTGGGCTCCGGCCCTGTGTTTTATACCGCTATAGGCAATTAATATTGCATCAGCCGTATTTTAAATTTTCAAAACCCACAATATAATGTAATGGCATAAGGGCATTTATTATTAAAGGACACCCGATGGAGAGGGAGGTGGAGGAATCGCTGGGGCTGTTGTGCAAGGCTGGGGTGAGGGGCTGAGGCCCAGGGAGCCGGGGGGGAGATTCGCAAGTTTGCTTATGTGGTAGGGGGTGTCGCACTGCGCGGAGGGCAAATCCAGTCTGCTCCGAATTTCGGGTCTTGGTTTGATGCCCCGGAACTCTTTGAGGACGAAGCAGAGAAATGTGCAGATGACTCCTGGACTTGGAGCTTTAAATTTTAAATCAGGAAGGCGTTTCTACGACTCGCAAATAAAAAGAGGGAGCGGAAAGAGAACAGGGAGCTGGCATCTATGGAGCACCTATTATGTACAGGGCACTATGCTAGGCGCTTTGCAGCAGATATAGCAGTATCCCCACAAAGAAGCCGAGGTGGACCACAGAGTGAGTAACAACCTGGATGAGAATTTCAGTTGAATTTGAAATTCCGAGGGGGCCCCACTAGAATGTCACAGCGAATACTTTTCTCCCTCTTTGCCTCTATTATCTCACCTCCTCTCAAGCCCTTTGAATCTTTTAAAATAATTTGTTGCCTACTAAGCCCAAGCACTAGTAGAAGTCTTAAATGAACAATCTTACCTAGTTCTGACAATAACCTTGTGAAATAAGCATTGGTCTCTTCATTCTGCAGACAAGCAATCTTGTTGGAGAAGGTTTAGAGAAATTAAGAAATTAGCCTCAGGATGATTCTGCCAGTGAGTGGAGGCATTGGAAACTCGAATCCCCATTAGTCTGGCTTCAAAGTTTACTAGCTAAGTCAAGTTGAGCAGAGTCTCATAGATTTGCAGGCAGGGAAGCATGGAAGGAAGTACCTTGAAACCTCAAGTTCAGACACAAGCCTCAGGGTCTCCCACGAGGAGATCCAAGTGAGTCTGCCATGGAAGAGGAGTGGGGAGAAGGGATGGCTGGGGGCTGGTCAGCAGAGACTGACAGCCCGGTCCTTTGGGGTTCTCCCTTTTACATCCTTTCCAAAGCTAGTACCCCTTAGCCTCTGAGAAAAAATAAAACCACTTTGATTCGGGTTGAAAAATAAAGCATTTATTTTAGAAGTTAATTCAAGGGGTAAAGAGAGAAGAAAACTTAATATTTTATTTGCATCTATTCAGAGAAAGAAACCAAAGGTCACACAGCAACACGCAAACTACATGAAGCAACGAAAAAAAATAAAATTTGGGCTAGAGGAGCTAGGGTGAGAAGGGTTCAGGCCGCTGGTCCCACTTCTCTTCCCTTACAAAACTATAAGTGAACTTCCACCGAAAGATACCCACATAAAGGGAATGGAAAGAAGCATAGTTAAATAAATAATAGGAATTAACGATGTTAACAACAACAGTAATAAAAAAGCGCAACGAGGTTAGACGTGTTGAAAGGACTTGCATATAATGCAGAGAAGTTACAGTCACTTTCCAGCAGCTGACTCCACGCTGAGCTGGCAATCTGGCAAGAACAGCTAGCTGGGGTCAGAGAGTCCTCAGCCGGCATGAACACTACCAACTCCCGCTATCCAGTAAGCAGTAATTACCCCTCAACACCAGTAGGTAGTGAAAGATGGTCGGAGCTGGAGCTGGCAGCTGCTTACAAACAGCCAAGCGATCCCAGAATTTTCAGTCGCCAGACTGGACCCACCTCTTTTGGAGTCGTACTCACCACGAAAAATAGCAACTTGGAGCCCGCAACTCCCTGCATACTTTCCCTGAACCTAATCTTCATGCTACCTTATGAGAATTTACGGCAAAACAAAGGATAAGATGAATAGAATTTAGGCAAGGACGGGAGTATAAGGCTATCCTTTGGAAACATACATGTACTTTATATACTCTAATAAATCTCCAGTGCATGTTTGTGCCCCCCTTAGATATCCTAGACTTTGTGTTATTATGGATCACTTCCTTTTTATCCCTTCACTTCTTGCCTGATCACGCTTAACAAAGTGGCGTTTTCACCCTAGCTTCGGGCGGTTGGGCCAATTCACTGTCCTCTGTTTTGGTGCTCCTGCTCCGAGGTCATGCGGCCCCGTGCGCGAGGGCAAATTTCAGCACCACGGACAGCACAAGTACCCTCAGGCCCGCCCTTCTGGAATATTTTCCCAGCGCCAAAACTTTTTTTGGTGGGAATAGAAAGGAAAGAGAAAGAGAAGGCCGGAGGCAACCAAGCGGGACAAAGGGAGAAAGTCTGTGGCTTCGGAGGAGAGAACCTAACCTGCCTAGGAAACGCCTTGGAGTTCCCAATAACCATCCCCCCAACCCCGGAGGGATGAGCACTAGGCTCTCCCAGCTCCCGACGCTGCGCCCTGCCGCAGTCAGTGGACAGCCGAATACTTCATTCGTTTCTGTTTCTGTCTCTGGTTGCAGAACCAGACTCTCACCACGTTCTTTTTAAGGTCCAGTTTCTCAGCGATGGCCGCAATCTTCTCAGATGAAGGACGTGGCTGGATAGCGAAATAGGCCTCGAGTGAACGCTTCTCCGGCGCCGCGATGGACGTGCGTTTGCGCTTCCGTTCGCTGCCGTTGAAGAGCTCTGGCTTGCTGTTCTTCTCTCGGTAGGCGGCCTCGGCCTCCTCCAGCCAGGCCTGGAGCACCGGCTTGAGCGCGATCATGTTGTTGTGCGAGAGAGTGAGAGACTCGAACCTGCAGATGGTGCTTTGGCTCAGCGAGCCCACGCCGGGGATCTTGAGATTAGCCAGAGCTGCGCCCACGTCCGCCTGGGTCACCCCCAGCTTGATGCGACGCTGCTTGAAGCGCTCGGCGAAGGCTTCCAGCTCGCGCGGGTCTGACTCCACGTCACTGAGGCATGCTGGCATGGCGCTGTGAGGCGCCACGGTGTGCGGGTGACTCATGCCCATGGCCTGGTGCAGGTGGCCCATGGCGCCCAGGTGGTGTGGATGGATCTGTGCGGGCATCACCGAGTGTTCCGGAGCGCCCAGGCCGCTCACACTCAGCGTGGGCGAGATGTGCTCCAGCAGGTCGCCTTCGAGGCCCTGGTGCACGGCGTGGTGCGGGTGAGAGGTGAGCGCGGCTGGGTGGGAGATGGGCACGGTGGACGAAGTGGACGTGCAGGGCACGCTGCTCATGGTATGGTAGGTGGCGTCGGGCTTGAACGGATGATTCTTGCCGTGGGAGACGATATCCACCGCCGCCAGAGCTTCGGCGCGTGCCAGCAGGCTCTCATCAAAGCTTCCAAATATATTACCCTGCAGCTGCAAGCGAGAAGGCGCACAGCACGGTCAGTAGGGAATACTGTCAACACAGGATTAAAACACATTTTCAAGCAACCGAGATGCCTCTCCTCAAAGCCCAGGTCATAAAAATTAATACGGAGGCAGCAGCTCTGCTGGAACAGACGTGTGGATCAGAGACATGAATGAGAGAGAGAGAGCGCCGGGAGAGAAAGCGGGGGAGACAAGGAGAGGGGTTCAGACAGCGGCGATTGTTCTGGGCGACATGAAAAAAACATGAAGCTAGTGCCTGTCAAAAAATGTGCCTTAGAGCGGTAATTATGCTCCACTACGTACCTGCGGGGCTGGGAGACAGACTCGGCGCATGGCCTCGGAGCCGGAGTGCAGGCTGGAGAATTTGGGTTCTTGCAGCACCGGGTGCATGCCGAAAGGCTGCTTGGAGTTCATGGCCATCATCTTCGCGCTCCTGGCAGGGTGGCAGCGGGGGACATGGAATCAGGCTTGTCTAGCTCGCTTGCCGCGCTCCAAGTGAGCGCTGCTCAGCGCCCGCGCTCCCCTCGCCCTCTCGCTCGCTGCCTCCCCTCTCCCCCACCTGCTTCTTCACTCATCTTACAAGCAGCCTGCCAGGAAGGGCCCGGGCGCGCGCAGGCGTGCTCACGCGCCCGGGACTCGCAGGGGCGGCCCGGGAGGTGAGGCGAGACAGCAGCCAGCGGCGCGCCTTTCTACGCCCGCGGCGGCCACCCCCTCCACAGCCTTTATACCCGGGCCAGGCCTGGCCTCTCCCAGTCCGCCCCGCCCCGCGTGGCTCCAACCCGCCCGACCTTTCGGATTCTTTCTTCTTCGTGGACTTCCCTCCCCCCATGCCACCCCAAAAGTCCCAATCCTCTCGGTCCTGTCCCAGCTCGAGCTGCCAGGATAAAAGGACAGCCCTGGGCTGAGCTGGGGCAGGAAGTTGACCCTACTCCAACTTCCCCTCCCCACCACACACACACACATACACACACACACACACACACACACACTCCGTCGGCCCGGCTGCCGCCAAACTGCCCATTTCCAGGGCGCTCCTGGCCTCACGCCCAAGCGGTCCACCAGAGTCCGGTCCCGTGGCGCAGCGAGGAGGCGCCTCCAAGCGCCCAGACGGGCCCGGGGGAGGGTGAGAGGCTGCCAGAACGAGCCCCAGGTGACCCCTGCCCCTACTCCCCCAACCGCGCTCTGAGGTAGAGGTAGGGGCAGTAAGGTAGGGGCCTTCTCTGTCCAGGAGTGGCTTCCTCCCCACGCTTGCCTTTCTTGCTTTCATTTGAGGGAGGCAACTTGGCCCACTCTCTCTTTTTCCAGCCCTTATGGAGTATTTTTTGAATAGTGACAGTTTAGGATGGCCCTCCAGGCCTGGGAGTCCTTCAGTGCACTTTTGCTGGGCAGCCAGAACTTGCAAGCCCATTCCTCGTGACAACAGTTACCGTTTGAGAGTTCCTAATATGCGCTAGACAATTTAGAGTTTGCCCATGGGATTCTCATACCCACTGTATGGAGTAGGTGATGTTATCCCGTTTTACAGACGAGGAAATCAAGGGTCAGAGGGGTTAATGATTAGCCCATTCACTCACTCACCCAGTTATCTATCCATCTTACAAATATTTACTGACGGCCTACTGCGTGCAAGGCGCCTTAGCCTCTCGGTCTTCCTTCCCGAAGTTTCGGAACTTGAGGGCTCTCGAAGTTAGTACTGCCCGCCTCCACCTCCCCTAGCGTCTTTTTCTCTCTACTTCCCTCTTCTTTCCTCTCCTTTCCCCCGCACTAGTAAACATCGTGAATAATGGATGGGGAATCCTGGACCGCGGCTACGCTGCACTCCGTTTCGGAGAGAACCCCTCCGCGTGCAGCTGTAACCCCTTGCCAAGGCCACTGCGTCCGCTGGGAGAGCGATCTTCGGGGCTTAGAGACCTCACCGTGCCTGCTATTATGCAGGGTATGTGCGTGCCGGCTTTCCCAGAATCTGAAAGAGGTGGGGTGGGGTGATGGAGGGTACCACCCCTTAGCCCAAGAGGAGGCCCTGACAGATCCGGGCTCCCTCTTCCCCTCGGCGCCCTCCAATCGCTTTTCTCCCCATACGAGCCAGCCCCCTCCGCTGGTTCCCGCTCTGCGATGGTGGGAAAAAGACTCAGCCCAGGTGCCTAGAGCCAAGCGCAGCCCTTTCGCTAAAGCCCTCTGAGCCTCGGTTTCGGCGACTCTTAAATGGGAATTGCACTATCGTCCGCCTCCTTGGGTTCTGGTGAAAATGTTCAGAGTTAGGGTAAAAAGAAAAGCATTGAGCCACGAAATCGGTGCTCAGTCAACTTCCTCACAACCTGGTGCCATAGGGCTCAGGCCCTGACCTCAGATTCAAAATGCGTCTCTGCCTCTTTCTGGCTGAGACCACGACATATTCTCAACTTCTCTGTAGTGCGGTGTCCCCATCTGTAAAATGGGGATGAGCATTTCTTTCCCATTGATTGTTGTGAGGAATGCACTGGGATAAGCACATGGCACAGTGCCTGGCACATTGATATCATTGAATGATATTCATATTCCATATGAATATTCATGTTCCTCTCTTCTTCCTCAACTTAAAGAGAAAGATGTGAGAGTGGGGGTGGCCCGAGTCATCCCCCTGGTGCCCGGTTTGCCTGCAGGTGCATACTGTGGATCCTTGCTCTCCATTCACCCAACACCTGGATTGTGCCAGACCCCATGCCAAAGGCTGGGACACAGATGTGAATCAGATTCCATCCTGGCACTCAAGGAGTCACCGGTCTAATATTCACTTCAGAAAGTTAACTCTAAACTTGCCAAGCAGTAGAAGGGAGGTAGATTCATGAACAAGACACAGAGCACAAGGGTGGCGGGATTCTGGAAGTGCAAAATACACATCAGAACCATGGGCTGCAGGAGGGCTGGATTTGGGGCTGCATTCTGACATATTATGGGTGACCCTGACTGCACCTCAGTTTACCTACAAGGAGTGGGCTGGATAAGATGATTGCTAAGCTTTAACAAAGACTTCTAGCTTTAACAAAAGACTATTATTCTGGTTAATTTGAATGAAACATATTTTCAGCATGTCAGGAACTTAATCTCCAGGGACACTCAACTCCCCAGCGCTGAATGCAGCATTATTTTATCACTCACTAGGATTTAAGACCACTCAGTCTTTGTTTTCTTCCCAGAGCTGGAAGCCCAAAGGGAAAGGGGGAATGAAACAGAGAGATACATGGTCTGTATCTTGCCTGGCCCCATGATGCCCTGAGACCCATACTCACTCCATAATACCCTAGTTGTCTGTGAAGCTGAACCCCTAGAAACTGGGAGAGAAAGGATTCATATCCATTCTCTTTCTCTGCTCTGTCCTTTCAGGGGTCTGGGAGATACTGGCCAGCATAGAGGTCAGGCATGAGTCAGAAACAGAGCAAAACCAACTGGTCCTCGCACGCCTCCAAAGTTGACCTTCACCTTACCAGCCCCTAGTCCAGCATCCCCAGGCATTAGGATCACAAATCAAGAAACACACCTGTGTCTGGTCCTGTGTGTTTTAGGGTTTTTCCCATCTTCCCCTCTAAGAAGGTCTACTGGCTGTTCTAGGCAGCCAGCGGTGAGACCACACCGATGCTTAAGGACCAGTCTTTTTGAGAAGGCCTTGGAGATAACAGACTGGAGACTGGAGAAGAAAAGAGGGACAAGACCATAGAGAAAGCAATTGGACGGACAGCCTTAGACAACAATTCGTAACAGCCTCTACACTTTCCAGAATTTGTAAACTTAAATTCTATAAGGTGCAAAACTAGTAAAATAAATGAGTAACTTTATCTGGGTGGATAAAAGGAAAGATTGAAACTGTGGTAAACTAGAGAGCACTTACCCACCCTCTACCACCACCATGGCATTAAATTACAATCACACACACACACACACACACACACACACTCATATCATTTATGGACCAAACGAAGTGTGTGAAGGTCCATGTAAGGACTATGTGGGTATTTATGCAAGTAGCATCGAAGGGAGAATTTTCCCCATTCAATAAGCATTTCTGACTACCTACTAACAGCAGAGTCTTGTGGAAGGCCTTGCAGATATAGAAGACACTGCTTCAGGAGCTCAGAGTCTAGTAGAGACATAGATTTGCCACATGTAAGGCTAAGTCAGGGCACAAAGCACTATATCCTCCAGAAGGACTAGCCTTGTAGAGATACAAAGCAGGTAGGGGCCTGGGGGCAGATGCATTTTCCTGTGGGCCAGTGATTCTCAATTTTAGTATAAGTAGGAACCATCTGCAGCCTCTTAAAATACAACACCACAGGCCCACACCCAGAGATGTTGACCTCAAAAACTAATGTGCTTGTTAATAGACATCCGTGATTTTGGATGCAGAGGATTTGGGACTCTCAACTTGAAAAACTTAGTCTAGACCCTCATCACCTGCATTATTATTATCATTATTATTATTATTTTAAAATTCTGCCCTTATTATGTAAGTTTCATGAAGACTCAAAGAGACTTTTCCTTCTTTGAGCTTCCGATGTCTTTTGCATCTTCCCTTATTATCTCTTAGTAAGAACGTGATGTTTTATGGTCTCTGATCCTTGAAGAACTGTCTGTGTTTCCAGTGCCTATGTCTACAGGCCAGGCAACATTAAGAGCTTGATGTAATTCATGTTGAATTAATGAACTCTGGCCAGGGGGGTGCCGATGATGATGGTGACAAGAAGGTCCATTTATGGAGTGGCTCCTATGTACAAAACTCTGAGCTAGATGCTTTAGAAGTGTTGTACACTGAGTCTCCAAAATCAAGCCTGTGAGGTTGATACCATTATCCCCATTTTACAGATGAGAAAAAGGAGGCATAGAAAGACTGAGTAAGTTGACCAAGGCTACACAATTAGGCAGTAGTTGCATGGGGATGGGAGCCTTGGTTTATCGGACTCTGGAGCTCAGGTTTGTTAGTCCTAACTGACATCCCGGACTGGCACTAGTTATCCCATCTCCCAAGCCCAGGGACTGAGGGAGTAGGGTGAGCAGGTTTTACTTCTTTTCTTGCTTCCGGAGGCTGGCCAGGCTCCAGGCATGCTTCCGGGCACAGGTTGCACTTGGAGAAGCCAGCAGCTACCCGCACCCACCTTCATTCCCAAGCCCCACATTGGAGAGTTCGAAAAGGGGCAGGGAGGGTGGAATGGGAGATGGCCCCGATAGGAGGGCCGAGCTCAAGATGCCATCGGGAGGCGAGGCAGCTGGTGGGGCTGCCTGGCCAGGTGTTCACAGCCGCCTGACTTGCCTTCCTCTCCCTTTCTCTGGTCTCCTTTCGCAAACTTCTCACATGTACTCGCCGCCTGCGCAGCTGCTGCCGGACTCGTCTGTCTGCCGCTGCCTTGCATTGTCTGCAAAGGGGCTCAGAGGATCCGAGACGCCCAGAGGGATTCAGGGGCCAGAGGCCGAGCGTCCACGAGGGCTCGGCACGTGCCTGGAGCCCTCGCCTTCCCCCCCAGATGCCCGCCATGGACAGAGCCCT